ATAACTATAAAGTCCTCTTCATTTTTTTTTCTTCTCTCTGGCTGTTGACCACATCCACATCATTGTCCGAAGTGATGTACCTTTGAGCTACTTCAGAAAACTGGTTGATTGTTGGTCGATTTCACATATTAATTTACTCTCTTAAAGTAGCCAAATGCCTCATTATCTAATTAGCTTAGATGACTTGGGAGAAAGTTATGGGAAAGTCACATGGGAGCAATTTATCAGTCCAATGGAAGTGTAAAGAAATATGATTGACATATTTTGACAACCTGTTGAAGCATTTTGCAGGTTAAGGCTTCATGAAGCTAAATGTAGTAGAGGTTGAGACAATCCAAAAGAGACCCACATAATACATTTTAAATGACAAAAGCAAATGAAAATGTAGGAGAAAGTAGAAAATTGTACAAAATCACTTGCATGAAGTACAAAAGCATTTTGCAACTTGAAATACAGAAGGAAATTCTTTTATGATGTGCACTAGCGACACAGTGATTTAATGTTTGAAAAAGTAGTTTGGAGAATTTAAAATGTGTTCTGAGAAAATCTAATATGCATGTCGACTCCACGTTTTCTAATTTGACAGGTATAGGTCCTTTGAATTTAAGAATGATTAGTCACTCTAATTTAGTAAATTATTTTTATTGATTTTTTTTAATTTCTTGAAAACAGAAAACAGGATTTTCACCTCCTTGTAATAAAAAAACAAAATAAAAGCACAAGAGGAGCTTACAACAAATAGATTTTCAAAAAAAAAAAAAGATTTTTTTTTAAACTTAAAAAATTTTATAATTACCAATAACTTACTAGGTCAAATATGATTTTGAATTTACTTGAACATCGTTTCTCACATTTAAGACACAATATGCAGATTCTAATTTTGTTCTAAAATATGCCTTGAACAAGACGTATTTTTACTAAACATTACAACTGAAATGAAGCAATTTTTTTGTCTTCACTTTCATCCATTTAGATTTTATACAAAGGTGTTACTTGTTCACAACTTTTACAGAGGGAATAATAAATGGCCAATAAATGTGCTATGATCATTCGAATTGTCAATAATCCAGGTGTTTTGCATCAGTCTCATGTAAACTTGGTCTCCAACTTCAAGCTGCAGAGTCATCCCATTGGTTGCTGTCTCATGACGGTTCCCAGCAACATGATTATAGACAGTGACCATCTGCTGTCCATTCTTCATCAGTTGCAGGCCCATTGGTTTAGATGAATGATTATGTCCAGAGAAGCTGAAATAATAGACTCCTGTGACAGGAGCCGTAAAAATACCTGTTGATGATCAAAGCAATGTTCATGGTGACCTTTGGTGGGGTTTTTTACTTTAAAACTTCAAAAACATAATAAAATAAAATATGGATGTATTTAAGCATATGTCCTGATAAGACCTGACTGAAACTGAAAAGTGTTTTTTCTTTAAACTTGCATCTAACAGTAGCCCATCGAGCGAGCACTGGATATTATTTAATAATTTCTGCATTTAGGTCATTCTTAATACAATGGCACTACTTTATATAACCTCTGACAATATGTGAAACATCTTCAAGAACAAAAATATATTTCAAACTCTCAATAGTAGTTGTACACACTAATTTGATTAATAAGCATCAAATGTGTTACTGTGCTGAATTTACCTGTTCCCACGTTGAATGATCCTGTATTTACATAGACCTTTTTATAGACCAGTGTGGTGTGGGTATTAAAAGGTCCTACATTGTCACCGACGCTTATGGATGCACCAAATGCTACCTTGTTGCCTTAAGAAAAAACATAAACATGAGTGTTCATTATAATGTTTATTTAATCTCATCTCTATATAATAAAATTTGCGGAAGAGGATGCTCCAAATCTGCTGCTCTTACCTTGAACCTGTGACTTCAGGACCTCCATCTCTTTCTGAGTGTCTCTAAGTTTGGCTTCTAGCTCTCTTAAGATAAGAAAAAGTTGCCCAATGGTCTTTTGGTCTTCGGCTGTGCCATGGTCTTGGCCACCAGGTGACTGAATGATGCCATCATCCACATCACTGACCTCTCCTGTTGGCTGAGCTGTGATTTCAAACACACACGCATAGAAGAAAAAAAACGTAACCACAGAAATCTTCATCTTGAACTGCTCCTGCTTGTAGTTGTCTCTGCTGTATATTCTCCTGACTACTTATACAGTTCAAACAAGGATCTTTGTTAAACTTTTCCAACTCTTGGTAACTTCACAGAAGTTCTGTTTTTAATGATTCACAGTAGTGTAAAAAATTGCTTGACCCTTTCCTGTTTTTTCTTCTTCTTTGTTTTGCCATGCTTGTCACACTTCAGTGTTCTAGCTGTCCAAAACCAATTTAAATATTAATCAAAGACAACACAAGCAATATGGAAATGATTTTCCATGGAAAGTTCCATTTTGAATTAGTTTATAGTCAAAGACAGTTTTAAAACATACGGGGAATTTGTGAAAATATGTTTTACTTGTGTGTTTTACTTGTGTACAGTGCCCTTCATTGGATTTGCAATGTTTTGGCAGGAAAGTAACTCCATCTTACTTGTGCTGACTTTGACTATTAAATTGGTTTGCTTTTCTGAAACACTGAAGTGTAACAAATATACAACAACAAAATCATAAAGAGAGCAAACAATTTTTAACACCACTGCAAATCATTAAATACAAAACTTTTCTGAGGTTTCCAAGAAGAGTTATAAAGTTTGACTAACAAACCTTTGATCTGGTCATTTTAAAAACCTGTCAACTTCTTTGCTTTGCATATGAGAAGAACTATGCAGGAAAGACTGACATGCAAGTCTACCGGTGAATTTCTCTGTTAGGGTTAGCTGGTGGCCTGTGGAAGAGCTGTTGTGTTCACGCAACAACCCTTTGTTTTGCAGCACCATATCTCAAACTACTACACCATAGCAAATGTATGGAAGCCCATTTTGGGCACTCTGATGGAAGAACCTGAGACTTACCTTATGTAGTTACGGTAAGTCTTAACTGCATAAGGTAACTACTGTCTCACAAATAAGATAGTATCACATTTATCACAAGTGAGAGAATCTCTTAAGTCATAAGACATACAAGTTTTTTAGGGTTATTTTTTTTTATCAGTGGCAGAAATAAAACAAGTCTATTTTTATTCGCATGAAGAACAGCGTTGTAATGAACGTTTTGCTTAATCACTTCTGAAAAAGTCTAAGACACCTTCCGTTTTTCTTTAACGTACATTACACTACATCACAAATCATCTTGGACCCATTGTATGTAGCACCAATTTAAAGTTGTTCTCTTGCCACTACGCATTCAATCACATCATTTTAACAATCAAGTAATCATAAACTCCACATACTTTTTTAAGGCAATACTACTACTCCTTCTGAGCCTTTAAAACCAAACAGTGGATATAGTAAAAAGATGCGGCACTGGTTATGGGTGTTGACTCATTATGGCTTCCAACAAAAATGGTGGTAAACACTTATCATTTTCCCTCCATTTATTCGTTGAGGAACAATTATTTCCACTATCTAAACTGCAAATAAGTGTGGATTACAAAGGTTTCTGACCCCCCTTGACTTGGGAACTGTTTTAGACAGCAACTTCAACAAGCCTTTTTTATTGGAACAGCCAAACTCATAAATGATCTGCAAATCAATGAATACAAAACTTTTCTGAAGTTTCCGAGAAGAGTTGCAAAGTTTAACTAACAAACCTTTTCTTAGACATCAACTTGAACCAGACTTTTTGGTTAAACAGTCAAACTTATGAGTGTTCTGAAGGGAAAAGATAGACAAGGAAAATTTGTCAGGGGGAAAAGAGGAACATAGCCTTCAATTTTTATGCTTTTGTTTTGTGGATGCTCTGAAGCAAAAACGTTGACAGCCATATAAGATAATGTGTGTAATACAATATAATAGATATTTCCATTTTGTGAGAAACAGACTGATAGTCTACACTGAATGAGTTTTGATTTATTTATTTATTTATTTATTTATTTATTTATTTATTTATTTTTCATTTTTTTGCCTTTCTGCCTGCAGACGTGTGGATGAATCACTCTGGTCTTGGAGGGAGCAGTGAAGAAAAGACCTCACATTTCAGGGACCAGAATAGAATAAACGCTCTGCCTCCGCACTGATCGCTGAGTAGGAGGACACAGACAGACACTGAGGTGTTCTTAGCTCCCCCTACATTCATCAACACCTCGTCCACATTTTCAGTCTCTGGATTCGTACACTTAGACCTGTCAATGAATAATGGCTACAGCTGAAAAGGTTTTTGTTTGGAGCTTATATATATATATATATATATATATATATATATATATAAAAAACAGTTTTTATTTGCTCTGAGAAGGTATTTGAGCCTTGAAGACTGCAGTCTTTTCTTTTCATTTTGGACCTTATCTCTCTTCTTTGTCCACAAGAGGGCAGGCTTGTGCAGCTAATAGTCAACAAGGGTTGCAGAGATGAGACACATTTTGCTTCTTGATCTTTATATTGATAAACTGTAATACATGACTCTAAAATTGACAACTGAAGCAATTTCAATTTCTTACTCTTGTCCACCCTACACAAACTGAATATTGTTTTTATTTTTCCTCCTGTGTTTTTTAGCATTATCGTTCAAAAAACTTAATACACGTCAAGCAATTTGTAATACACTCTGTGAAATATGTCAAGACCTATAAACTCTGAACTTACAAAGTGATAAAACTGATTCCTTTTATGATAAAGGGAGAAAAAAAACACGTTGGATACTGGGGAGCAGGATAAAATGAGTATTATTGGGGTTTCCCAATCAGAACACAAACCAATTCTGTCATATTATGGATGTGAGAAATTACCCAGAGTAAAATCAGGTGAGTTGCACACCTTAGTTAATCACACAAGACACACAAAGTTTTTCACCTTGACAATTACAAAACAGACCACTAGCTACACCTTAAATCTAACACAATCAATCCTACATCAGCATTACCAGGAATAAGACGGATAGAGTTTCTGGTTTAGCTACACATTTTGGTAAAGTGCATGATTGCTGACACATTCATGTTCAGGACTCAGGAAGAAATTATTGTTTGCTTTGTAACCAATGTATCCACAACTACCTGAGGCTGTTTTTGATCCATTACAGAAAGACAAAACAGACATTAGACTGTTAGGTCCCAAGAACTGAGGTGCTTGATAATTCTTGTCATATCAAATTAAAAGCGAAAAACCTAATGCCAGTTCCTACACAATATAATTCTACAATAAACGCTAAAAGCACTAGCTGTGTACAGAGTTGAGAAGATTCAACAGTGACCCAGTAAAGATGGTGTTAACATAATCAAGCCAAAGCCTTGTTGCAGTTAGAAGACTGTGAAGAGGAAATAAAGTCTCAAATTACAGGAACAACTTAATGAACTGAATTCCACTGTTTCTTCGTGAGCTGAAAACAAAGAATAATCTGATGTCATGGGGAAAAACCTGTGATGACAATTGACATTTCCTGGTTTACACTAAGATCATTACTTAGACATGAAGATGAAAAGTTGGCCTGTCTTGTTATTCCTCTCTGAGATCACAACAAATAAGTGGAGAACTTCTACTAAAATGTTGTCACCTGGTGACATTAATTATCTGGAGTGCAGAGGGTATAACCCATAATCCTAATTATAACCCTAACAGATTTCAGTCTTTTCAAGACTGAAATCTTCCAGTTTCATTTCCAATCTTTCATCTGGAAATGGAAAGAGTATGGTGCAACTGTAAACCTACCAAGAAGAGGCCGTCCACCTAAACTTACAGGCCGAACACGGAGAGCACTGATAAGAGATTCAGCCAAGAGGCCCATGATGACGCTATGCAGCGATCCACAGTTCTGTCCAAAAGAGAACTATTAGTCGTGCACTGCACAAATGTAGTCCTTATGGAAGCATGGCAAGAAGAAAGCTTTTCCGCAAAAATGCAAAGTGGATGTGTGGTGGAGAACTAACACTCCACATCACTCTGAACACACCATGCCGTCTCCCAAATGTGGTGGTGGCAGCATCATGCTCTGACGGTGTCTCTCTTCAGCAGGGACAGGGAAGATGGTCAGAGTTGATGGGAAGATGGATGGAGCCAAAAACAGGGCAATCTTGGAAGAAAACCTGCTGGAGTCAGCAGAAGACTTGAGACTGTGGCGGAGGTTCACCTTCCAGCAGGACAATGACCTCAACCATAAAGCCAGAGCTACACTGCACTGGTTTAATCATGTGTTTGAAAGTTCAGACCTCAACCCAATCAAGAATCTGTGACAAGATTTGAAGATTGCTCTTAACAAATACTCTCCATCTGATCTGACTGAGCTTGAGCTGTTTGACAAAAAAGAATGGGCAAAAATTTCAGTCGGTAGATGTGCAAAAAAAAAAAAAAGACAGCTGGAATTGCAGCAAAACATTGGTTCCCCAAGGAGGCTGAGTACTTTTGCACACTGCACTGTTCATTGTTTTATTTGTAAAAAAAAAAAAAAAATCCTTTGAGCCATGTGTAATATTCTTTTGACCTCATAATTGTTTACCACTTTGTGTTGATCTATGTGTAACAATGTCAATGATCTATGTTTATGTGTGTGGTTGTAATGAGACACAATATGTAAAAGTTTAGGAGGAACGAATACTTTTGCAAGCCACTGTATCTAACTTAAGAAGAGATAGTCATGCTATTTATTTATTTTTTATTTTTTGTGGAAATCTAAGAGAAGAACTAATGTACAGAGAAAAGTTGAGAAAGTTCAAAAGTAACAGGACGGTGTTACAGAACAAATGGAAGCCAAAGCATTGGAAGAATTTGAAGAGGAAATAAAGTCGCAAGTTATGGAAATACCCTAATGTACTAGATGCCACAACTGATGTTTGAGCTGGAGATTGCGAAGCACCATTGTATTATTTTAAACTGTAGTGGAAATAATAACAATGAAAACACGACCTTACCTGAACTTTAAGAGATGAAACATGCTGCAGCCGGTTCGCTAGACCAAGGTTATTGCCAGGACAGCAGGACTTTCTTTACCATAAAAAACAAAAAACACATGTGATAATCTATTTCATTCATTATTCTTTAAATAGTGACATTTCCAAAGCAGCTGAAGAAATAGACGTGTTTTTTTTTGTGTGTTGTGTGCATACATGGTTGTTTGTCCTGTGTGTCTCTGTGTTGCCCTGCGAAAGATTGGCGACCCCACCTCTTGCCCAAAACACTGGGCACAAGGGTGTACAGAAAATGGATGGTTGGATGGATGGATGGATGGATGGATGGATGGATGGATGGATGGATGGATGGATGGATGGATGGATGGATGGATGTTTTTGTGTTTTCTTTTCCATTTGCTTTATGAATATACCTTTCTTTCATGATTTCTTCTGCATGTTTGCTGTTTTCTGAACCTACTATCAAAAATATCAGATTTTTCTAACAATGGACCTGATAATCAATCTAATCCTGACTGTAATGATTAGTATTTAGCAACAAAAGTGCCTTAACAAGCAATCAAACATGAGCATGTGGATGATCCACTCTTGTCTGTCTTTCAAAACGTTTGGTGACTGAATCTTTAAGTAAATACATCATTTATTACCATTAGTCTGTTACACTGTCAGAACTATTCGCTTCAGTATTGCTTAGCTAAAGTAACATTATGAGAATGGCTGACCTCAGTAAGAGTGACCATCTCTGATTAATTTACATTTCTTTATCTTCTTATTTATCAGTTCATATTATTTGTGTGCTTCCTTATTTTTTCCTTTTTTCTTTAATTGTGTTGTTCACTTAATCAATCAATCAATCAATCAAATTTTATTTGTATAGTATAATATAATAATAATAATTAAGATAAAACATTCACATTGATAAAACTGACAAAGGCCTTTGGTGTTTCAGAGTCATTTGTTATGAATGCTCTGCAAATATTTTTATTGAGTTTTTCGTGTCTTGAAGACTTTTTTTAACAGCTTTTGAATTTAGAAAAAGACGTTTTCACATCCTTGTGTAAATCTGAAAGGAGCTTCACCACATTTTTCAAAGAATGAAAACAGGCTTTTGCAATGAAAAAAATTTGTGCCTTTATTAGATTTTAATTGGTCAAATATTAATATGATTGTAAAATGTATTACCTTACATACATCAGATCACCTCACATTTAAGACATAGCACACACAGATTCTAATTTTACCCTGATATCTGTCCCCATCACCACTAAATATTATCACCGAAATAAAATCTATTTCATGTGTATGTTCATTCTTTTGCAGGAACCTTACAGAGGGAATAATAAATGGCCAATAAATGTGCTGTGATCATTGGAATTGTCATAAATCCAGGTGTTTTCACGCAGTCTCATGTAAACCTGGTCTCCAACTTCAAGCTGCAGAGTCATCCCATTGGTTGCTGTCTCAAAACGATTTCCAAAAGGATGGTTGTAGACAGTGACCATCTGCTCTCCATTCTTCATCAGCCGCAGGCCCATTGGGTGAGTTGATAGATTATGTCCAGAGAAGCTGAAGTAATAGACTCCTTTGACAGGAGCCGTAAAAATACCTGTGGACGATCAAAGCGATGTTCATGGTGATCGTTGGAAGTATTTTAAACACACATGATGTTTGAGTAAATTCTGAAATGAAAGTTAACTTTAAGTTAACTTTATAATGTAATGATGATGTAATATAGAATACTATTTTAAAAGATTTAGTGAAAAATGCCTTAAAATGATTTGCTGGAATTTGTTCTTTGTTCATTTGTTTCAATCTGTTTGCATTCTAAATGTAATCATAATCCTTAATCTGATTAAGGATTATGAAAGTACATGTAATTTACCACACACAGATGTGCTGTGCTATGCTAAAACTGTTAATAATTTTAGTTTAGCATATTTTCCTAACCTCTTCATAGTTTTTCAATGTCAGAAAACTGTTTTTTGACTTCTTCTTTTTTCTCCTATTTTTATTTCACCCCGTCTTAAATTTCCTGCCACTCAGACATAATTTATAGTTTTTATTTTAGGTCCTCCCTGAAATAATCACTCTATTTTACATGAAAAACAATGATTTATTTTCCCTTTTCAAGTACAGCAAAATACTTCAAGCTCTCATTATTTGTAAACACTAATTTGAGGGTAATCAAATACATCACTGTGATAAGTTTACCTGTTCCCGGGTTGAATGATCCTGTGTTTACGTAGACCTTATGGTAGACCAGTGTGATCTCAGTATTAAAAGGTCCAAAATGTCTGCCTACATTTATAGATGCTCCAAACGCTACCTTGTTGCCTTAAGAAGAAACATGAAAATAAGTGTTCATTATAATATTTACTTCATGTCTATAAATTAAAAGTTGCAAAAGTTAAAACTCCACATCTGCTGCTCTCACCTTGAACTTGTGACTTCAGGACCTCCATCTCTCTCTGAGTGTCTTCAAGTTTGGTTTCTAGCTCTCTTAAGATGCCAAAAAGTTGCCCAATGGTTTTCTGGCCATCAGCTGCACCCCAGTCTTTGTCACCATATGACTGAATGGTGCCATCATCTCTATCTCCTGCTGGCTGAGCTGTGATTTCAGCCACACACGCATAGAAGAAAAAGAAAGTTAAGGCCGCCACAGAACCCTTCATCTTGAACTGCTCCTGCTTGCAGGTGTCTCTGCTGCGCATTTCTCCTCACAATTGTTTTTATACAATACAAACAAGGGAGTGGCCCATGATTTTTTTTTAAACATTCTTAACAAAATCTTTATTCAGAACAAGAAACATTCTAAAAAAAAAAAAAAAAAAAAAAAAAAAAAAACAAAAAAAAAAAAAAAAAAAAAAAAAAACCCCCCCCCCCAAAAAATAAAAAAAACTTTTTAAAAAAAAAA